CATTGTCCGAAAATGGTTGGGGTATAGAAAAAAAACTTACATCTTCGAGGCTCTATTATAGAGCCATCAACGTTGACAGATTGTCTATTTAGCCTTTGAGCTCAATGATTTTGGTACTTTTAACTGGCAACGTTGCGTTTTGCGTGGGTTGGTACTTATGGTGCCTGAATAGAGCTTTAGTTTGGAACTAAGGGTGCGTGAGTGCGTTTTACAGTTTTGAAAATGGTTCATGGAATTTATTATGCGCCCTATGGACAACACACAAATTTAATCAGGTACAAATTTATCAATTATTATTGTAGTTTAACTCACCAATATTTTGATAATTTGCCTCTTTTCTCTGTATTTTAAACTTTGAAAAATTGAACTTTTGAGCTTTGATCTTTAATCATTTATTAATTGAGCTTTTGTCTGGTAGTTAATCAAAAATTTCTGTTAGCTGAAATAATGGATATGTTTTTACTTAGAATTTGGGTTTTTTACAGTACTTATTTAATAATCTAATATTCTAGTACCTATACCTACTCAATATATTTGATAGGTATTTGAATAAATTTTCAAAAAATCTTAGAGATTTGAAGTGACTCGTATTTGTCTTTTGGAAAAAATCCAGAAAATAGTAACATTTTTAGTTCAAAATAGACAATATGCTTCTTTGTTTTCTGAGCTTATTTTTAACTGTTAAAAAAGGGGTCAAAGTATGCTAAAAATTATCTGTTTTTAATTCAATAAGGACCTCTTTACTTGGTGTTCAGCCTTTCAGACACGTCACAGGTCCTGAAAGAGTCAATTCATATTGATTTTCTAGAGATTCTGCCTTAGAAGCAATTCAAGATTGAACATTTCCAAGAAACTGTTGGAGTTTTTTTGTTCAAAAACCTTGGAATTTGATGGATTCGGAATTTCGAACCTTAAGAGGTTATAAGTTGATTGTTTTAGAACAATTTTTCTTCTTATTGGTTTCCTAGTCCTTTGGGCTATGAAATGATCATCAAAAAGTGTTTCAGTTAGCTCAAAACCACTCAATGATAAGTAAATTCCTAAAAATATGGATTTTAACTTATTGGCGATTTTGCAGTCCAAAACTTTCAAAAATCTTAAGAATCCTATTATCACTTAAGATGTTCAAGACTTTAGAAATCCTGGACTTTAAAGATTTTGGATGAAAACTGAAGTTTCTAACACTTAAATTATCTACTCAACAACTAAATTGAAGAAGGCTTCAAAGCAATTGACAATTATTATTGTTCCGCCACTGTCTCTTAAAAAATATCGTTTTGTTAAAAGGCCCTGCATGTTAATTCTTCGGACTTTGAATAGGCATATCTTCGGGTAGAGTAACCCAGCCATAGAAAGCGAAAGAGCCGGAGATGAAGAAAACGTGTCCCGTAGCCGCGTCCTATAGCTTAATTTTTAGTAATTTATACTTGTGTGTGTAGGTACGTATGTACCAAGGGACCACAATTTATGTGCCTCTTTCTTATTCTGATTAAGCAATTAATTTTACGCTTAGCTTTTTATACACGAGGCAATTTTACGATGGCGTATACTTATAGCTTTTATGCGATTGCAGATTATTATATGCAGCTTTGTAACTGAGAAACTTCGTAAGATTTTAGTCGCTAAATCTTATAACAGAGCAGATTATTCAACTGCACTTAAATAAGAACTTGGATCAAGTAAGTTAGCAGCCAGCATACTTTAAGCCAGGTTGACATGGTACAAATGTACTTGGATCAAGTACCAAGTATCTTCCAAATGAGGTGCGCGCAGTACTTGATCCAAATACACTTGGACCATGTCAACCTGGCTTTATCCAAGTCCAGTTGGTCCATTCATCCAAGTGTACTTGGACAGTGTCAACCTGGCTTTACTTGGATGTTAGGACCTATCCAACCGGACTTGGATAGAGCCAGGTAGGTACTGCGTGAGTTATCACCAGTTTTCTGTACTTTTCTTTGATAATACAAGACTAATGTACAGTAATCAGTTTTCTCTATCGGTTCTCGTTTAATTCTTCTCGTGTGCTCAACTTCCTTAATAAGTGTCTTACAAATTGGCGCCCAACATGAGGCCACAGTGAGTTTCAAGACTGGTAGAGTGATTATTGCGCTCCGATTGCGATTTTCGTGTAGTTGTTCGACGAACCCCATGGTGTTTTTCGCGCTTGTTTGGTACGAGATTCATCACTGAGAAACAACCAAATTGTGAACAACTGTGACGCGTTAAGTACTGCGTGAGTTATCACCAGTTTTCTGTACTTTTCTTTGCTAATACAAGACCAATATACAGTAATCAGTTTTCTCTATCGGTTCTCGTTTAATTCTTCCCGTATGCTCAACTTCCGTAATAATTATCTTACAAATTGGCGCCCAACATGAGGCCACAGTGAGTTTCAAGACTGGTAGAGTGATTATTGCGCTCCGATTGCGATTTTCGTGTAGTTGTTCGACGAACCCCATGGTGTTTTACGCGCTTGTTTGGTACGAGATTCATCACTGAGAAACAACCAAATTGTGAACAACTGTGACGCGTTAAGTACTGCGTGAGTTATCACCAGTTTTCTGTACTTTTCTTTGCTAATACTAGACCAATATACAGTAGTCAGTTTTCTCTATCGGTTTTCGTTTAATTCTTCCCGTGTGCTCAACTTCCCTAATAATTATCTTACAAATCGGCGCCCAACGTGGGGCTACGGAGAGTTTCAAGACTGGTAGAGTGATTATTGCGCTCCGATTGCGATTTTCGTGTAGTTGTTCGACGAACCCCATGGTGTTTTTCGCGCTTGTTTGGTACGAGATTCATCACTGAGAAACAACCAAATTGTGAACAACTGTGACGCGTTAAGTACTGCGTGAGTTATCACCAGTTTTCTGTACTTTTCTTTGCTAATACTAGACCAATATACAGTAGTCAGTTTTCTCTATCGGTTTTCGTTTAATTCTTCCCGTGTGCTCAACTTCCCTAATAATTATCTTACAAATTGGCGCCCAATGTGGGGCCAGGATCAGTTTCAAGACTGGTAGAGTGATTATTGTGTGCCGATTACGATTTTCATATAGTTGTTCGACGAAACTCATGGTGTTTTTCGCGCTCGTATTGTACGAAATTCATCACTGAGAAACAACCAAATTGTGAACAACTGTGACGCGTTAAGTACTGCGTGAGTTATCACCAGTTTTCTGTACTTTTCCTTTGCTAATACAAGACCAATATACAGTAGTCAGTTTTCTCTATCGGTTCTCGTTTAATTCTTCTCGTGTGCTCAACTTCCTTAATAAGTGTCTTACAAATTGGCGCCCAACATGAGGCCACAGTGAGTTTCAAGACTGGTAGAGTGATTATTGCGCTCCGATTGCGATTTTCGTGTAGTTGTTCGACGAACCCCATGGTGTTTTTCGCGCTTGTTTGGTACGAGATTCATCACTGAGAAACAACCAAATTGTGAACAACTGTGATGCGTTAAGTACTGCGTGAGTTATCACCAGTTTTCTGTACTTTTCTTTGCTAATATAAGACCAATATACAGTAGTCAGTTTTCTCTATCGGTTTTCGTTTAATTCTTCCCGTGTGCTCAACTTCCCTAATAATTATCTTACAAATTGGCGCCCAATGTGGGGCCAGGATCAGTTTCAAGACTGGTAGAGTGATTATTGTGTGCCGATTACGATTTTCATATAGTTGTTCGACGAAACTCATGGTGTTTTTCGCGCTCGTTTGGTACAAGAGTCATAACCGAGAAACAGCCGAATTGTAAACAATTATGACGTGTTAACATTAGTCCAAGTACACTTAAACCATGTCATAATTGGATACACACCAATGTAAATCAATGGGGAGTGAAAGTAGAGTAAAGTAGCTCTGAATTCAAATAAGTCAAACACAATTACTACCCACTGTTGACGCATTTACACCCAATTTAATTATAAAAAAAAACACGCAGGCATACGCACCGAAGCTTGTATAATTCAATGCAAATGCTTTTGTCTTTAAAACGTAGAGGTGTTAAAGGGGGCGCCTAATTAAGGCTGTCAGCTGCGGTATTCATTATAGATGGGGCTCTATTTGCATCTAACAAGGATTTTACTATTATTTTCAATGCAAGGTTGCATCTGTGCTGGGTATTCCGAGAAGTCCGATACAAAAATAAAATGCGAGTTTATTAAGGCTTCGGAGAGAAAGAAAACAAACTGTTGGCGGATAGAGTTTCTCGGGTCCAGGTTAAAAAAGCAATTTAAATTTCGCCCGCGGGTTTTAGAGCGAAGAACCGACCGGCTCAGGCTCCGGCTATATACCAGTCTCGAGCTTAATGACTTTATTATCCTAATCGTAAATAATTTTGCGAGTTATGAACATGATCTTTTTTTCGAATACTAACCCAATTATTTCAATGTAAGAAGCAACAGGCTACTACTTGCAAAAATTTGCAATAAAAAGACGTGTACGAAAAACAGTGTGCAGTTTATAAAAGGTCGCATTATACGGTGAACCGGTCATTCTCACGATTGAGTCGATACCCAATGCAAATGGGCAAAAGTAAAATAGAGCTCGTCTGTCCCGTGGGCGCTATAAACGTGCTGCGGGCCTAATTAGAGAGATTTCGCATTAAAGAAGAAACTGTTTCTGCCTCAACTTTAAGTATCTAATAATTAAGAAATTAAATTTTCAAACGATGTTTCACTCCACTTAGATTTACATCGACTTGCCATTAATATTTTATAAAATTATCGAGCAAACTAAAACTAAAGTACCTATATAAGAATCGTGCAAAAATGCTTACGGTCATGTTTCCTAATCGACCATCGGGCCAGGATTTTACATATTCATGATGGTTCCAACATGGTACTCTCGATCGCGAATGGCCTCTTAAATTTTAAACTGTTGCCTTTTTGTCCCCATAAAAGCGTTCCTGATTCACTTTCAGATTAAACGGACACCACCACTTACTTATATAGGCGCGCCTATATAACTGAAAATTCATTTTTCTTTTTTTGTTTCAGTGTCGGGGCCAGTCCTGGTAGTAGCATCCTCTTGAGCAGGGAGTTGCATCCTGCTTACCGGTTGCCACCTCATATGGAGTATCTTTACTCCCTTCAACATTCCACTGCCAATTCGATTCATGGTAAGTCAATTTTAATCTTAAGATGTTAGCACTATATACAAGTAAAAATGAGCTAAATTATATGATATGCAAGGGGGTAGTCACTTGCGATTTTTTCTTTGGAACTCAATAGAAGGAACTTCATGGATATCCTTGGTTCTCTATAAAAATCATTTGGATATTCATGGATCTTCATGTATTTTCTCCGGACTTCCATATATACAGTAATAATTAGGGTATTAGTGGTACCATCAATCAAAATAATGTGCGCACGCAATCACGGTTTTCTAATTCTATACGACTGCAGCCGAAGTTCTTGGATCTCCACGCATTTACACCAGATTTCCATGTATCTCCAGTGAATCTTTATGTATAATTCCATTGGATATCTATTCCGTAGGAGAGTTTGGAGGTAATCAGAACAAAAAATCTCTATCTATTTTTGCAAGACCATAGATTTCCTTGGGATATACAAGGATCTCCAGGTATATCCTTGAATCTTTATGGGGATCATTTGGAATTCTATACTTTTACAAAAACGTTCTTTAATTGTTCCTAGCGGATGTTTTGAAAACAACTCAAATCAGACGTCTAAAAAACGTCCCTTTTACACCCTAAAAAACAACGTTATGTTCATGGACGTTTTATTTTGTGAATATATTTTACGTCATTTTCAAAAACGTTCTTGGAGAAACCTTTTATTTTAGACATTTTAGTCTTTGGACGCTTCAAGGCTAAATGAATTTCTGGAAAACCTCCAAGATATTCAACAGATCCTCTTCAAAAACAAATAGGTATTCATTAAATTTACTTCTCAAGCCTCAAGCAACAAAAATATTGAATTATAGCCCTGTGGCATGAGCAAAGAACAGGGCCGTAGCTAAATTCAAATCTGTGATAGGGCATAGGTACACTACTTGTCCCCTTACAAAATAAGTAAGTAAGGTAATGGGTTCGAAAGCAAATACGCCAATAAATAACATTTCTACGAGTAAATTGAATCCCAAATGAAATACATTGACGCGTTTTCGGAAACACTTAGTCAATTTCACGCCTATTCATTATCTACCCTTGAATCTCCTAGAAAAACCTTAAACGCATGTCCTATTTAATTTTAAAGGTAGATCGTCATCATTTAGAGGTTAGGAACCTATTTTCCAGCCGGTAATAATCAAATTTTTATTATTACCGGCTCTTGATTGTCTAGAGAAATTTTCCAGCGACTCAAAAGCCGGTAATAATCAAAATTTGAACTTTTACCGGCTCTTGATTACCTAGAATAATTATCCAGCAACTTAAGAGCTGGTATCTGGGAATAAAAAAATCGTAACTCCGCTATCTTTGGTTTTTTTTAATCAAATTTTGGTATATTAAAGCTGAAAAGCTTCTGGATGTACAAAAAAATGCCTCATTTTCCAAAGTTTCCAAGATTTCCAGGAAAAAAATCAAAAATCAAGCCATAGTCTGTAGTGTGAAAATATCACTGTGTGTCTTTTGGATTAAAAAAATCGTAACTCCACTATATTTGTTTGTTTTCTAACCAAATTTTGGTATGTTTCAGCTGAAAGGCTCCTGGATATACAGAAAAAATCTTTATTTTCTAAAATTTCCCAGATTTCCAGGAAAAAAATCAAAAGTCAGGCCATAGACTATAAGGCAAAAATATCACTGTGTGTCTTTTAGATTAAAGAAAATCGTAACTCCACTATCTTTAGTTTTTTTCCAATCAAGTTTTGGTATTTTAAAGCTAAAAGACTTCTAGATATACAAAAAAATTCTTCATTTTCTAAAGTTTCCCAGATTTCAAGGAAAAAAATCAAAAATCAAGCCATAGTCTGTATTGTGAAAATATCACTCAGTGTGTCTTTTGAATTAAAAAAATCGTAACTCCGCTATCTTTGGTTTTTTTTCAATCAAATTTTGGTATGTGAAAGCTAAAAGGCTCCTAAATATGCAAAAAAATTCTTCATTTCCCAAAGTTCCCCAGATTTCCAGGAAAAAAATCAAAAATCAAGCCATAGTCTGTATTGTGAAAATATCACTCAGTGTGTCTTTTGAATTAAAAAAATCGTAACTCCGCTATCTTTGGTTTTTTTTTCAATCAAATTTTGGTATGTTAAAGCCGAGAAAGCTAAAAGGCTCTTGGATATAGAAAAGAATTCTCCTTTTTCCAAAGTTTCCCAGATTTCCAGGAAAAAAATCAAAAATTAGGCCCTAGTTTGTATTGTAAAAATATCACTGTCTCTCTGGGATTAAAAAAATCGTAACTCCGCTATTTTTGTTTTTTTCCAATCAAATTTTGGTATGTAAAAGCTAAAAGGCTCTTGGATATAGAAAAGAATTCTCCATTATCCAAAGTTTCCCAGATTTCCAGGAAAAAAATCAAAAATCAAGCCATAGTCTGTATTGTGAAAATATCACTCAGTATGTCTTTTGAATTAAAAAAATCGTAACTCCGCTATCTTTGGTTTTTTTTCAATCAAATTTTGGTATGTGAAAGCTAAAAGGCTCTTGGATATAGAAAAGAATTCTCCATTATCCAAAGTTTCCCAGATTTCCAGGAAAAAAATCAAAAATCAAGCCATAGTCTGTATTGTGAAAATATCACTCAGTCTGTCTTTTGAATTAAAAAAATCGTAACTCTGCTATCTTTAGTTTTTTTGGAATTAAATTTTGGTATGTTAAAGCTAAAAGGCTCCTGGATATACAAAAAAAATCTCCATTTTCCAAAGTTTCCCAGATTTCCAGGAAAAAAATCAAAAATCAAGCCATAGTCTGTATTGTGAAAATATCACTCAGTCTGTCTTTTGAATTAAAAAAATTGTAACTCCGCTATCTGTGGTTTTTTTTCAATAAAATTTTGGTATGTTAAAGCTAAGAGGCTCTTGGATATACAAAAGAATTTTCCATTTTCCAAAGTTTCCCAGATTTCCAGGAAAAAAATCAAAAATCAGGCCATAGACTATACGACAAAAATATCACTTAGCGTGTCTTTTGAATCAAAAAAATCGTAACTCCGCTATCTTTGGTTTTTTTTTCAATCAAATTTTAGTATGTTAAGGCTAAAAGGCTCCTGGATATACAAAAAAAAAATCATTTTCCAAAGCTTTCCAGATTTCCAGGCAAGAAATCAAAAATCATGACATAGTCTCTGTATTGTAAAAATATCACTTAATGTCTCTCTGGGATTAAAAAAATCGTAACTCCGCTATCTTTAGTTTTTTTTCAATCAAATTTTGGTATGTTAAAGCTTAAAGGCTTCTGGATATATAAGAAAAATCTTCATTTTCCAACATTTCCCAGATTTCTAGGAAAAAAATCAAAAATCAGGCCATAGACTATAAGGCAAAAATATCACTCAGTGTGTCTTTCTGGGATTAAAAAAATCGTAACTCCGCTATTTTTAGTTTTTTTCCAATCAAATTTCGGTAAGTTAAAGCTAAAAGGCTCCTGGATATACAAAAAAATTCTCCATTTTCCAAAGTTTCCAGATTTTTAAGAAAAAAGTCAAAAATCAGGCCATAGTCTGTATTGTAAAAATATCACTTAGTGTCTTTCTGGGATTAAAAAAATCGGAACTCCGCTATCTTTAGTTTTTTTTTCAATCAAATTTTCGTATGTTGAAGCTTAAAGGCTTTTGGAAATATAAGAAAAATCTTCATTTTCCAAAATTTCCCAGATTTCCAGGAAAAAAATCAAAAATCAGGCCATAGACTATAAGGCAAAAATATCACTCAGTGTGTCTTTTGGGTTAAAAAAATCGTAACTCCGCTATTGTTGGTTTTCTTCCAATCAAATTTTGGTATGTTGAAGCTGAAAGGCTCCTGGATATACGAAAAAATTCTCTATTTTCCAAAGTTTTCCAGATTTCCAGGAAAAAAGTCAAAAATCAGGCCATAGTCTGTATTTTAAAAATATCACTAAGTGTCTTTCTGGGATTAAAAAAATCGTAACTCCACTATTTTTGGTTTTTTTCCAATCAAATTTCGGTATGTTAAAGCTAAACAGCTCCTAGATATACAAAAAAATTCTCCATTTTCCAAAATTTCCTAGATTTCCAGGAAAAAAATCGAAAATCAAGCCATAGTCTGTATTATGAAAATATCACTCAGTGTGTCTTTTGAATTAAAAAAAAATCGTAACTCCGCTATCTTTGGTTTTTTTTCAATCAAATTTTAGTATGTTAAAGCTTAAAGACTCCTGGATATACAAAAAAAATCTCCATTTTCCAAAGTATCCTAAATTTCCAGTAAAAAAATCAAAAATCAAGCCATAGTCTGTATTGTGAAAATATCACTCAGTGTGTCTTTTGAATTAAAAAAATCGTAACTCCGTTATCTTTGATTTTTTTCTAATCAAATTTTGGTAAGCTAAAGCTTAAAGGCTCCTGGATATACAGAAAAATTCTTTATTTTCTAAAATTTTCCAGATTTCCAGGAAAATAATCGAAAATCAGGCCATAGCTTTGTATTGTAAAAATATCACTCAGTAAATCTTTTGGATTAAAAAAATCATAACTCCGCTATTTTTGTTTTTTCTTTAATCAAATTTTAGTATGTTAAAGCTAAAAGGCTCCTGGATATACAGAAAACTTCTTCATTTTCCAAAGCTTTCCAAATTTCCAGACAAGAAATCAAAAATCATGACATAGTCTCTGTATTGTAAAAATATCACTTAATGTCTCTCTGGAATTAAAAAAATCGTAACTCTGCTATCTTTAGTTTTTTTTTTAAATCAAATTTTGGTATGAAAGCTTGAAGGCTTCTGGATATATAAGAAAAATCTTCATTTTCCAAAATTTCCCAGATTTCTAGGAAAAAAATCAAAAATCAGGCCATAGACTATAAGGCAAAAATATCACTCAGTGTCTATTTGGATTAAAAAAATCGTAACTCCGCTATTTTTGGCTTTTTTCCAATCAAATTTCGGTATGTTAAAGCTAAAAAGCTCCTGGATATTCAAAAAAATTCTCCATTTTCCAAAGTTTCCCAGATTTCCAGGAAAAAAAACAAAAATCAGGCCATAGTTTGTATTGTAAAAATATCACTTAATGTCTTTCTGGGATTAAAAAAATCGTACCTCCACTATTTTTGGTTTTTTTTCAATCAAATTTCGGTATGTTAAAGCTAAAAGGCTCCTGGATATACAAAAAAATTCTCCATTTTCCAAAGTTTCCCAGATTTTCAGGAAAAAAGTCAAAAATCAGGCCATAGTTTGTATTGTAAAAATATCACTTAGTGTCTTTCTGGGATTAAAAAAATCGTAACTTCACTATCCTCGGTTTTTTTCCAATCAAATTTTGATATGTTAAAGCTAAGAAGCTCTTGGATATACAAAAAAATTCTCCATTTTCCAAAGTTTCCTAGATTTCCAGGAAAAAAATCAACAATCAAGCCATAGTCTGTATTATGAAAATATCACTCAGTGTGTCTTTTGAATAAAAAAAATCATAACTCCACTATTTTTGTTTTTTTTTTTTTTCAATCAAATTTCGGTATGTTAAAGCTAAGAGGCTCCTGGATATACAAAAAAATTCTCCATTTTCCAAAGTTTCCCAGATTTCCAGGAAAAAAATCAAAAATTAAGCCAATGTCTCTCTGGGATTAAAAAAATCGTAGCTCCGCTATCTTTAGTTTTTTTTTCAATCAAATTTTGGTATGTTAAAGCTAAAAGGCTTCTGGATATATAAGAAAGATCTTCATTTTCCAAAATTTCCCAGATTTCCAGGAAAAAAATCAAATGGCAGGCCACAGACTATAAAGCAAAAATATCACTCAGTGTGTCTTTCTGGGATTAAAAAAATCGTAACTCCGTTATTTTTGGTTTTTTTTCAATCAAATTTCGGTAAGTTAAAGCTAAAAGGCTCCTGGATATACAAAAAAATTATCCATTTTCCAAAGTTTCCCAGATTTCCAGGAAAAAAATCAAAAATCAAGCCATAGTCTGTATTGTGAAAATATCACTCAGTGTGTCTTTTGAATTAAAAAAATCATAACTCCGCTATTTTTGGTTTTTTTTCAATCAAATTTCGGTATGTTAAAGCTAAGAGGTTCCTAGATATACAAAAAAATTCTCCATTTTCCAAAGTTTTCCAGATTTCCAGGAAAAAAAATCAAAAATTAAGCCATAGTCTGTATTGTGAAAATGTCACTCAGTGTGTTTTTTGAATTAAAAACATCGTAACTCCACTATCTTTGGTTTTTTTTCAATCAAATTTTAGTATGTTAAAGCCAAAAGGCTCCTGGATATACAAAAAGAATCTCCATTTTCCAAAGTTTCCTAGATTTCCAGGAAAAAAGTCAAAAATCAGGACATAGGCTACGTTCACCAGAACCAAAACAGATTTTAAACAGTTTACAGATACCAACAGAATATGTTGGGTAAACTCTTGGTTCTGCTGAACGATTCAACTTTTCAATGATAGAACGTCACCTTCTGAATGACAGGTCACCACCAGAGATGTCACCACACAAAACACAGTGTTGGAAATTATAAACACTCTGAAATTATGCTTGCAAAAATGGCGACCGTTTGCAAAACATGTTTGGTTTTAACACAAATTCAACGTAGCGTTCAGCAGAACAATCGCAAACCGTTTACCAACGTTTGTATCTGGTGAACGCGGCCATAGTCTGTATTGTAAAAATATCACTAAGGCCCAGTTGTACAATCTTGGTTCAAATCAGAGCTCAGCTAAACTCGACTGGTACTTGAACTTCCCCATTTAAAATACATTGCTGTCAGCTATTAATCAAATTCTATCAATTTTGACAGCAATGCATTTCAAATGGGGAAGTTCAAGTACCAGTCGAGTTTAGCTGAACCCTGATTTGAACCAAGATTGTACAACTGGGCCTTAGTGTCTCCAGTGGTACCTAATCAATATTTGAAGTATAACCGGCTCTTGACAGTCTAGGGAAATTTTTCAGCGACTCAAGAGCCGGTAATAATCAAAATTTTGATTTCAAAGTGAAATTTGAAGCCAATAAAGGACCTTAGATGACTCTAAAGATTTCAACTCTTAGAGTGAGTTCAAATTTGGATTTTAAAATTGAAACCAAGTTTGATTTAATAATTAAATTTCTCAAGGAATTGTAATGTGTTCAAAGTACTCAAAATGCCTACTTAAAATTCAAATCAGGAATAGTTTTATAAGACTTGATACTGATTTGACTTGCTTAACGGTAGAAAGTTTTTCAAATTTGTAAGAGAAAGGCAAGAAGTTCCTGTGATAGATCTTCAAAGTGTTGAATATTGTTTTTGAACTATTATTATTGAATTATTATGTTTTCAAATGTCCAACATCTTTTTAAGATTGTGTCTTATAATTTCTCAATGTATTTTTGTCTTTGATTTTGCTCCCTCAAGTCTTTTGGTTTTCAATTTTCAAAGTTCTTAGTTAAACTATTAAAAATATATGATTTTGATGGTTCAAGATGTTTTTGTTTCCATTTAATGATGTACAGAATTTGTGGAAATCTAAGGAAATACGAGGAAGACAAGTTCATGGAAGAAGCCACCCCTGAAAATATTAAAATTTCATTACATTACAATTACCCAATGAATGAAACCCAATCTTTTAGTAACCAAAAAGTAACACAATGCTACGGATTAAAATACACTAAAACAAACAACATCCCGAAACAAAACACCCAGTAATAAAACATGCCTTCTTTAAACAAACCAGCGAAATCTCAACAGGAAGGGTATGATGGCCCCTCATCAAAAATCATAGAAACGGACGTTTTGTTGCCTGGGTTCGAACCAGCCTGGGCCGTAAAAACTCGGTTTCGTACACACGCATCTGGATCTAAATACGGCACCAGGAGCTATTTTCGCTCTTGTTAACGATGTTTTTCTTCATAATTTCAGACGAACGTCGTCCGTAACCGACACACGATTGACTTTTGTAATTTGTTGAGAGGATTTTTTTATGAATGAATTAGACGATTAATGTTTCTTGTCCCCCTATAGCAAAATCTGAAGTGGTACTACTTGAAAATTTAAGACAAAGAAAGCGTTTGAGGACAATTAACATGCGGGTTGTATTGTGCCAACAGGCCTTTTCCGGTTGAGCATTACACAATAGACAACATTTTCTACTAGATTTTACAGTGGAGCAATTATTGATAAACAGCAGAAAGTCTCATATCTCATCATTAAACGATATTTCCAATGTCGTACATTAAGTTGTACGTTGCCTGGCCATGCAACATGCAACCCAACCTGTTAATCTCATAACTTGTACCGATTTTTCCATAATATTTAAATAAAATCATAAATACCGCGTTTTACGAGGATCCGACCGGCTAGCAGCGTATATATGCATTAGCTCTTTGAGATATCGTCGTTGGTAGTACTAAAATATGATAAAGACTTTTACGATATGGGGCCTTGAGACTTGAAGGGGCTATTAAAAACGAGCGACTAGATAGAAGCTATGTGGAGATAGGTTTAATTAAATTATGAAGATAAGAGATATAATAAAAGTAATCCAACTAGGAACCAATTTTGACTTTTACAAAATCTAACAAATTAACTCCATTTCAAAAGCAACTCAATAACCATCATCATCATAAGGTTGTTGATGTTTTAAAATCCAAAAGCAAATATGCGTCAGTAAGTATATTTTTACCGGGTGCTTGATGATTTATTTTTGCATTGGAAATGTTTATTTTTGTTTCGACGTTATTCTATAAACTGTTTGTGTTTTGTAACAAAATTTTTTTTTTTAGGATTAGGACTGAGCGCTGAGTACCTGAACGCCAGAGGGCTTACCGAGCTTCATCCCTCATCAACATTAGCCAGTAGCGAGTTTCCATTTGGATTAGACGGTAAAAACTAATATTATTCATCTCGCGTTAGTGTTTAATTTATTCGTCAAACGTTTAAGTATTACTAGGCCCTAGGCAACATCCGCCGCTTAATTTTCGTTTTATTAGTTTCGGAATATAATCGTGAATAATAAAATAACCAAATTAGTTTCAGGTTCACGTTTGTGTTCTCCTCGTTTGGCTCGGGCTTCTAGAAAACGAGCCTTGTCAGCTTCGCCATATTCAGATCTGGATTTGACTTCGGTCATTCGATTTTCTCCATCGTCTTTGGCTTCGTTAGCAGCTGGCAGTAGAAGTTCGTCCGTATGTAGCGGTTCATTGGGGCATCTATCAGCCGGTAAGTAACTCCTTATTACCAGGATATTTCTAGTAACATACATAACGTCCTCCCATTATTTTTGTTGTTGCAAAAATACTATTTCAAAGTTTTAAAAGTTGTAGTAGGTATTGTAGACGCATGTGAAGTGTGCACCTGATTATCAGCAACGATTTTTCAGGAAGAGCGCATTACATTACCGCCAACGGTGTTTAAAGGTCGATTTTTGCAAAAGTTTTAACATTTTGAAGGTCAATGATGATCTAAAAGAGGAAATTTGTGAACAGTGAACTGTGATTGTATTAGCTTGATGTTGTATACTTACCTTAGTAGGTATCTACTCTGGGAGTTAAGGGCACAATAATCCAAACTAGCAGGATCTTTTATGACTTTATTGGTTGAGTAACAAGGGCCACTTATTCTACTAGAATACTGCTACAACCTCAGCTAACGGTGACAAGACCGAAGACACAATGGCAAATACAAGGTACAAGTGACAAGAGACAAAAATATGATAACACGTGCATCAATGTTATAACACAGAATAAATGGATACAGGATACAATTTACTTGCCACGCCATGATACAGAATTTCAATTTTTTGGTATTTTGTATCTGTCTCTTGTACCTTCTATTTGTCATTGTGTCTTCAGTCCAACTATATTACTATTAATATAACGGACATAGTCCATTACAACATTAACAATTAACTGTCTAATAACTAATTCAACAATATTTAGGAGCTAAAAATCAAGCCTATTTGGTTTTTGAACCAAACGGCCGGAGCGGGTCATATAATCTGACTCTGATTTTTGACTACTACTAGGCTGAAAAGGAACATGGTGCAATGGAGTCATTTGTACCACTAAGTCTAGATCCCTTATCAGTATTGTCACTTATCTTATCAGAATCAATCATGAATTTATTATTCATCCCTATGAGAATCTTTTTCAGAATGACAATTGATACTTTCATCATAAGGATTATCAATAACTTTAAACAAACTTTCTGTTGATTTGATATCATGTCTGTTTCTTGTAATATGGTTACCATACCTGTCTTGTAGAACATGACCTAGGCGAATCATATGATATTGTTTGATTTTTGCAGAGTCCCACGTATTGGTTTGATGGTTGAAGATAGAAAAATTTGTACCTTGCTCAAGTGGTTTTAGGATTTAAGCATTTTTGTGGAAATATTTCTGATTGAAATCACGTTTCTCTTTCATTTTCTCCTTAATGTTTTCACACAAAACAGATTGTAGCAAATCTTGGGAAATTGGAACTTTAGTCTTACAAATACGACTATTCAATAGCTGCGATAGTGAGTAACCCATGTGTTTAAGTGGAGAATATCTATAATTCATTAAAGCAGATTGTAAGCATAGTTTTTCTTCCTCATTTGATTTTTTAAGCAAGTTTTTCGAAATTGATACACTTTTTTCGGCTAGATAAAGTTCCAATTTTCTGCAAAATGTTTAAATTTTTCACTATTATAGGGAACATTGTCGGCTACTAATATATCAGGCGATCCAAAACGAAAAAAAATAGGCGTAATTTGTGAAATTACCGCATCAGCGCTTTTGTCTCGAATCTGTAATAATTCTAGCTAGTTTGAGTAGGCATCAGAAAGTACAACGTAACTGTGATTACCATAAGTAAAAAATATCAGATCCTACGATTACCATAAGTAAAAATATCAGATCCTACTTCTATGGTCGTTTAGTAGGTAAAGGATAAGACAAGAGTGTCTGTTTTGGATTACTCCTAGCAAATTTTGTACAAATAGAACAAGATTTGCTATAGGATTCAATATCAGTTGTGATCCCTGGCCAATAAAATATTCTCCTAGCTTGGGATTCAATTTTTTCTATCCCAAGATATCCTTCATGAAGCAATTTTGACATTTCCCTGCGCAATTTAAAACTTATTGTCTAGTAATATCAGATCGTCACTAACAAACAATAGACCTCTTGCACTCAATTAAAATTAGGTATATAATTTATCTGTAACGAAAGTGTATTTTATGTACTACATAACAGTATGGTTGGTTAATTTTTTTTTAAATCTTGAAGCTAGAAATTGAAAGAGAAAAAAGCAGATTATTTGAATTTTGCGCTATATTTTTGCACCAATCAAAAATTACTGATTGTCAAATTTCCATGTTCCAGAAGAATTTTTTTTTTCTTTTTGAACAAATCGAACAAAAAAGGAGGCATATATTAATCAAAATCGCTTTGCGTATCGACTTTGGTACAGCCTTACTTTTGACTTAAAACTTGAAAGAGAAGGACGACATCTATTAATTGAAGTATCGACAATTTTCTTTCCTTGTCTATAAATGCGAATTAAACAAAGAAATCGATATCTGTACTAATCCGGCACAGTATAAAGTACGAAAACGATAAAAGCGATTTTTGTTTACTATAGGTCAGTGACCCCTGGCTAGCTAATTTATACCTATCATCACAAAATAAACTAATTAACAACAAAAAACAGTAGGCTGGGGCAGTATAATATAATTAATTAATGCAAATAATAATAAATAAGATGCAAATATAGGTACTGTAATTTGGCCCTTAATTATTGTCGCCCCAGGAAAAGTTTACATGAAATTCTTGACATCTGGGCAACACTGAATAAAATTGATCAACCAAGAAATTTGAACTTCAAATCGAAATTTAGAGCCTTTGCAAGTCCGAAAAAAATCGGAAAAAATACAGTTGAGCTTAATTTTGACTCCTCTTTCCAATAAACAAATAAAAAAAATTCATGCAAGAGGTCCATTTTTCTTTTAATTTAGGGCTGTACTTAATTGAGGATCACATAAGGTTTCTTGTAGAAATTGGTTTTTTCTTTGTTCAGAAATTGGTGAATATTTGGCGACAGAATGAACAAAATTATACTTTTCAAAGGACTACAATCCCTGAAAATTTCAGCTGATTGGCACTTATAGTTCCTAAGATAAAATCGTGCTAAGCAATTGTGGTGATTTATCAATTTTTCAATTTTTCTGAGTGCCTTTTTTCATAAGTTTCGGCTTCAAATCTGAGAATAATTTAGTTTATGGAGTTCAGGGTATCACGAGGGACCGAATTAGGACACAAATCTCGACAAAAAAAAAATTTGAAATTTCATCGTTTTAGTAAGAAGGTACCCCCCTTATGATTTTTTTTGGAAAAGTTTGAAAGGTCATACCTTTTCTTCTATTATAGATAGAAAGCTGAATCTTTCACTGAAAATTATCCTTTTCAAAGGACTACAATCCCTGAAAATCTCAGCTCATTGGCACTTATAGTTCCTGAGATAAAATCGTGTTAAGCAATTGTGGTGATTTATCAATTTTTCAATTTTTCTGAGTGCATTTTTTCATAAATTTCGGCTTCAAATCTGAGAATAATTTAGTTTATGGAGTTCAGGGTATCACGAGGGACCATTAGGACATAAAATCTCGACAAAAAAAATTTGAAATTTCATCGTTTTAGTAAGAAGGTACCCCCCTTATGATTTTTTTGGAAAACTTTGAAAGGTCATAACTTTTTTTCTATTATAGATAGAAAGCTGAATCTTCCACTGAAAATTATCCTTTTCAAAGGACTACAATCCCTGAAAATCTCAGCTCATTGGCACTTATAGTTCCTGAGATAAAATCGTGTTAAGCAATTGTGGTGATTTATCAATTTTTCAATTTTTCTGAGTGCCTTTTTTCGTAAGTTTCGGCTTCAAATCTGAGAATAATTTAGTTTATGGAGTTCAGGGTATCAGGAGGGACCATTAGGACATAAAATCTCGACAAAAAAAAATTTGAAATTTCATCGTTTTAGTAAGAAGGTACCCCCCTTATGATTTTTTTGGAAAACTTTGAAAGGTCATAACTTTTTTTCTATTATAGATAGAAAGCTGAATCTTCCACTGAAAATTATCCTTTTCAAAGGACTACAATCCCTGAAAATCTCAGCTCATTGGCACTTATAGTTCCTGAGATAAAATCGTGTTAAGCAATTGTGGTGATTTATCAATTTTTCAATTTTTCTGAGTGCCTTTTTTCGTAAGTTTCGGCTTCAAATCTGAGAATAATTTAGTTTATGGAGTTCAGGGTATCAGGAGGAACCATTAGGACATAAAATCTCGACAAAAAAAAAATTTGAAATTTCATCGTTTTAGTAAGAAGGTACCCCCCTTATGATTTTTTTGGAAAAGTTTGAAAGGTCATAACTTTTTTTCTATTATAGATAGAAAGCTGAATCTTTCACTGAAAATTATCCTTTTCAAAGGACTACAATCCCTGAAAATCTCAGCTCATTGGCACTTATAGTTCCTGAGATAAAATCGTGTTAAGCAATTGTGGTGATTTATCAATTTTTCAATTTTTCTGAGTGCATTTTTTCATAGATTTCGGCTTCAAATCTGAGAATAATTTAGTTTATGGAGTTCAGGGTATCACGAGGGACCATTAGGACATAAAATCTCGACAAAAAAAAAATTGAAATTTCATCGTTTTAGTAAGAAGGTACCCCCCCTTATGATTTTTTTGGAAAAGTTTGAAAGGTCATAACTTTTTTTCTATTATAGATAGAAAGCTCGAATCTTTCACTGAAAATTATCCTTTTCAAAGGATCTACAATCCCTGAAAATCTCAGCTCATTGGCACTTATAGTTCCTGAGAATAAAATCGTGATAAGCAATTGTGGTGATTATCATTTTTTCAATTTTTCTGAGTGCCTTTTTTCGTAAGTTTCGGCTTCAAATCTGAGAATAATTTAGTTTATGGAGTTCAGGGTATCACGAGGGACCATTAGGACATAAAATCTCGACAAAAAAAAAAATTGAAATTTCATCGTTTTAGTAAGAAGGTACCCCCCCTTGATTTTTTTGGAAAACTTTGAAAGGTCATACTTTTTTTCTATATAGATAGAAAGCTGAATCTTCCACTGAAAATTATCCTTTTCAAAGGACTACAATCCCGAAAATCTCAGCTCATTGGCACTTATAGTTCCGAGATAAAATCGTGTTAAGCAATTT